GGCCTTGTGAGTTAGCTCTAGCATCAAAGCATGGTGGGATGGGTTCAGGTTGTCTTGGTCAACGGTGGGGTGCCACCAGTGCTGGGTTTGGCGTTGTTTCAGAGTTGGTCTGGTTGTTCTCCACTGGGCGAGTATCTTTGGTGGACCTTGTGGTGTGTTTTCTTCTCCGGCGTTGACTGAGGAGGTGATGCTATAGGTCTGGGTTACTGTTCTTTTTTGTTCCCCAACGGCGACTATTATCCAGGTTCGGTTTGTTGGACTGTTCAGCCGCCGGCGCCGAGGATGAGTTGTGAGCTGGGTGTGACCAAAGTCAGTCTGATGGACTTCGTGAATTTTTCTCCGAAGCTGGTTGGTTTCGGTTTGCTGGTATCTCGCCTTTGGTGGTGAGTTGTGTTGCTGGGCCGTGGTCATGCATTTCGGCCATGGCGAGTTTCTTGCTTTCTTTCCGTTGGTGGCTTTGGTCGCCGGTGATGAGGTTGTGTTTGGTCATTGGTCTCTGCATCTATTACGGTTGTGGTTGACCAGTGTCATGGCGAGTGGGATTCACCTCCCTTCCAGCGTGTGTGGAAAGCTTCTGCATGTTGAGTGTAGCAGTAGTGCATCTCTGCAGGTGGGGGCTTGAGCAGTGTGCTAGGATATTAGTGTATACACGTGGGTGGTAATTTGGCCCACTGTTTTGTTTCAAAACCAGCACACGGTTGTGTCGGGGGTATTATTTTTGGAGGGTCCAGCCACTTCAAATGTGTTTGTGTGCTGTGACGTGTGTATAATTGTTAATTTAATTTTTTTTTCCGTTTAAATTGTCCATATATCTTTCCCAAATACTTATCTATTATCCTCTGGATGATAGTTAGTACTTGGGGATAAATTTTGATAAATGGACAATTTTAGATTTTTTTTTTTGGGTAAGTAAGTCATAAAATAAAGACAATGAAATTTACAAGTTTACAAAGGGCATACCCCAGGCACACCCAACAACAAATAATTAAACGAATACATAAAACAAAATCTACCCCTGCACCCCCACAAGATAGGAGGAGAAACACATGAACAACAGAAAACAAAATAACCCCACTTCACCCATATATCCATTTGTCCCCAAATAACCCCTACCATCAGAAATAATAGATGGAAACTTGGGATGGATATATGGGCAAAGATACAAACAAACACCATAAAACTAAAAAACCACAACAAACATACTCACAAAGCAACAACCCTCAAGAAAAATCAAAGATGATAACCAACCCCATTCGCCCCCAGTCTCTACCGTAGATCAACACATAGAATCCAGTAGGCATCCCACTCCTCACAGCCGTGACATCCTAGCCACTCAACAAAAGCCATGACAGAGGAAAAAATCTATCCCATGAGAAATCCCGATAGAGTCACATGAAGCTAGCACGATCAGTAACCATAAGCAACAGTCTTGTGAGTCGAAGTGACAACGGTAGCCCCACAGCAACAAACCAAAGCATAGCCAAAAATAACCTGAGATCAATCATCACATCCCCCAGTCCCTTCCTTGATAGATCACAAGCCTCAAACCCCATGGCAGTGTGCCCTTCACTCCATGTCAGGCGTGGCAATACAATCAATTAGGATGGGTCACCTGAAGACAAGAAGCAACCGGAACCGGTAGCTATCCTCCCGCTCATCTCCCAGTCTCTAACTCGGCTAGTCATCGAACCACTGTTCCCCATAGCAGTGACCCCTCAATCACTCTTGGCGGAGATGGCTCAAAACTCACCTCATATCGAGTCACATGAGGATCACACGATCAATCATCAAGAGAAAATCGATTACACAAGATCTGCTGCATAGTGGCTAAACATAAGCTTATGGACTCACCAATCATAGAAATATATGCAATATGGCCCAAAAAAATTCAATTAGCCCAAAAGTCCAAACCAAATAAGCCCAACGGCTAAATTTCCAAGCCAGATATTCCATACCAATTCTTGCACCATGGGCCCCACAAAAAGATAACTTTATGGCCCAATAACAATAATAAAACCGTGGGCTTTAATAAAAGGACCCACTGGAACCATCTTTCCACAATTAAACTTGCATATAATCACTGTGGGCCCTAGTTTGTAAAACCCACCAAACAGTCTTCAACAAAAGGAAACCGTGGCCTATCTTGCAATACACAACAAACCAATAGACATGCGGGCCCACTTGAACCCACTAGCACAAAACATTTTTTACTTTAATCAAATAGAGACAGCTATATATAAAATATATATAACTAAACCAATTTGAATTACTTATTAAGTCCCACCCAAAAAGTAGAACTGTGGCCCACAAATAGCAAACCAACTTACTTACATGTGGGCCCAAGTGAAGAAACCCATCTGCTCATGCATACCCACGTGGGTTCAACAATAATTAAAGATTTAAAAAAAAAACCTCCATACCAACAAATCTCGCCAGCACATATGCACTAGGTACAACTTCCCACAAAGCAGTTGGATGGACGTGCAAGCATGACAACCTACCCGCAGCCACTATGCACTTAGGCACACGTGTAACCAATTCCAACTTCGTGTCCTAGCTCACCACCATTGTTGACAGTACACGAAACAACAAAACAAATATATATATTTTATATATATAATAATCATACCCAAAACCAGCGGCAAAGCCAAATGACCGGCGAACATGGATACTCCGGAACACCAACAACCAGCGCCAAAGAAGACCACTTCGGAACACCAACTACCAAACCACCGATGAACCCAGAACACCGACGCTGGAATAGAGCGACACCATTGCCGAAAACCAGCGGCACACCCAGAACACACCCTTAACTACCGCGGTCTTTGACACCAACGGCAGAATACGGCAAGAACCAAAGATCACTAAACCACAAACCAAAGCAGACAATGCTTCAGAGCCCAGCGAAGCACCCAGAAACGAGCAACTCACGTCGATTCCAACAGCACGCTGCCTCTAACTCAATACAGTAGCAAAGGCGCCCGTAGAGTAGGAACCAAACTGGCGCCAGAGAGCGAACCCAGCACAGCCGGCAACATACCACCAACGGTAGCCCAAACACCTACCGAATCAAGCTTAACACATGAACCCAGGAGGTGAACCCCGGTATGAGACAACCAACAACCCAAGACCAGCCATGTAAAATGGACGGACTGAAACAACAAGAACCCAATAGATCTTCCACAAACACTCCTTAATCTAGATAAAAATAAGAAGAGATTCAGCCACAACACACAGCACTAACCAAACCAGACAAAAATCTGATAAGGAGCCCTTAAAACTCCATGGGAAACAACGGAAGGAGCTTTCTCTCTCTAGATTCTAGAGAGAGAAGCTCTCAACCTAATCCCCTCTTTTGAACTCAAACTAGTTTTGCTTAGCCTCTAAAAAAGACAAGTTACTGAGTAATTGTAACTTAACGATATAAGTTTAGCATCAGCAACTCATTTAATGTTTTTCAAATCGCCTAAGTGTTCAATTCTCCTGTCAAAAAGCATTAATTTGAATTTGCGTTAATTATCATCCTATTTCCCTTTCTTTTCTCTAACCTTCTCTCCTAACTCTCAAGAAGAAAGCTTCTCTCTAACTCTCTTCGTCCTTCTCCATCCATCTCTCTTTTGTTCTAGGAACTAATTTGGTTAGTCAACTAATTGTTTATTAGCTTAACTGGCCAAATTTAACTCAAACTAATCTTGGTTAGCCTCCAAAAAAGAGAATTTACTGAACGAAATTAGTTTAACTTAAGAAACTCATTTAATGTTTTCTCAACCTAAATGAATGGACCAAAGGTCGTCCTGATATAAATGAATGGACCAAAGGTCGTCCTGATGTAAATGAATGGACCAAAGGTCGTTTTGACATGAATGAGTAGGCCGAAGGCCGTTTTGACATGAACGAGTGGGCCAAAGGCCGTTTTGACATAAATGAATGGGCCGAAGGCCATTTTGACAAAAATGAATGGGCCAAAGGTCGTTTCGACATAAGTGAATGGGCCGAAGGCCGTTTTACTATGAATGGAAACCCAAATGCTGTAGAGATGGGGATGGCTTCATGTTCTTCATATTTGATACCCCTGAATGCTGTAGAGACGTTCTAGAGGGAGGCCCATGGTATATTGGAGGTTACCTCCTCATCTTGAAACAGTGGAAGAGAATGATGAAGCTTGCCAAGGAGAAATCCACTAAAATCCCAATTTGGGTGAAATTCTTTAATGTCCCTCTGGAATACTGGGATCCTGATGGTTTAAGCAGGATTGCTAGTGCAATTGGAAACCCCCTCTTTATGGATCAGCTTACGGCCCGAGGTAGTAGAGTGGCCTTTGCTAGAATCTGTGTGGAGATAGAAGCTACATCAAAGCTACTCTCTTACTTCCAAATCAGGTGTGGTGATGATGCTGTCTTGATCAAAGCGGAATATCAGGGACTGCCTTCCGTTTGTCAACACTGTCAGATCTTTGGACACAGTACTGAGAAATGTGTTTCCAAACAAGTGGCCCAGTTGATTTCCTTGCAGAAGGTAACCGAAGAGAATGTTAACCCTCAGGAAGAAGGTTGGACCACTGTTCAAGCGAAGGGTAAAAGGAAAGTGGGGGATCCTGAATTAGAGACTATACCTGAAGTGGTGGAGTCCCCTGAAACAGATACGGAGCCTATACCTACTTCAGTTGTAGAGCCTCAGGCAGATTCAGTTCATACTCAAGTGATACAGGAGGATCCGGCTGGGAAGAGCTCCTCTGTGGAAGAAGTAAGTTATGACAGCAGTGATGTGGATATATTTCAAAAGAAGCTTTTCGAACTTACAGAGCTGGTTATACCTAATGCTGCTGAAATGATAGAGTCAGCTCTGAAAGAGGTAAAGAAGTCACCTACTGTAGCTCAGGTAAACCAGCATATAAAGAACAAGTCCTCTGGCAAAGGTAGCAGCAGCCAGAGGAAGAAGAAGAAGTAACCAGTTTCAGTTGGTTGTGGTTGTTTTTTGTCACCTCTCTTTTTTGTATCCCAATGACTGTAAAAATTGCTTCATGGAATGTTAGAGGATTGAATGATCCCTCTAAACAAAAAGAAGTTAAGAATTTTGTGTCCAAAGAAAATGTTCATGTCATAGGAGTTTTGGAAACTAAAATAAAGCAAATCAATGAGAGGAAAATATGTGGTAAATGTTTTGGTAACTGGTCTATGCTCTCCAATTCACAACCAACTGAAACTGGGAGAGTCTGGGTGTGCTGGAACAATGATTTTTGTGATCTTCAACTGATTTCCATGTCAAATCAGCATATTTTGTGTAAAATTCTTGACTTGGCTACAAATGAATATTTTTTTGCTGTTTTTGTCTATGCTGCAAACAAGCACACTTTGAGGAAAGTATTTTTTGATACAATGTTTAACATCTCCCGTGCTAAGTCCAAAATTCCTTGTGTTTTCTTGGGTGATTTTAATGCTATAAGATACCAACAGGAAAAAATTGGGGGTTCTCCTTCCTGGACTCCTGAAAATGAGGAGTTTAATACTTATATTAACGCATCTGAATTGGCTGATCTATCTTATGGTGGATGCCAATTCACATGGGCTAATAAAAGGAGCGAGGGAGCTTTCATAGCGACCAAGATTGACAGAGTTCTGGTTAATGAGGCCTGGCTGGATAAGTTTCCTGAGTCTACGGCTACTTTTCTCCCGGCTGGTATTTCTGATCACTCATCTGTTGTGGTCAACATCAGTGTTAACAGTAGCTCCTTTAAGAAACCATTCAAATATTTTGACTTCTGGTCCCATCACCCAGATTTTCTTAGTACTGTTTCAAATACCTGGTCTCAATACATTCGTGGTGTCCCTATGTTCAGAGTTTGTCAGAAGTTAAAACAACTCAAAGCCAGCCTTAAGCTTCTTAATAAAAAAGATTTTAGTGATCTGTCCACTCGTGTCCTCATCTCTAAGGCTAGTTTGGATTTTGCTCAAATTAACCTTGATAAGGATCCTTTGAACTGTGAGCTTCAATCTAAGGAGAGAGAGGAGTTGAAAAGATACATTGATCTTAGTAATTTGGAAGAGTGTCTTGCTCTTCAAAAATCCAGAGTCCTGGCTTGGTCTAGGGGATAGGAATAGCAGCTTCTTTTTTAGGTCTGTTAAGAGTAATATTAATAGAGGTAAAATCATGAGTGTGGTTATGGAAGATGGTACTAAGTCCACTAAGATAACTGATATTCATGATACTTTTGTCCAGTTCTATACCAAGCTGTTTGGTACCCCTATCTCGGGGGAGTACAATGGTCTTGAGCGCATTAAATCGTTGGTGAATAAAAAGGTTTCCAACTCTCAATCGGCTCTTTTGGCTAAACCTATTTCGGATGCTGAAATCAAGGAGGTTTTTTGGTCTCTCAAAGCTAATAAAGCTCCTGGCCCTGATGGGTATTCAGCTGGTTTCTTCAAAAGCTCGTGGGATATTGTTGGGAAGGAGGTTACCCTTGCCATTAAGTCATTTTTTGACTCTGGTAAACTCCTTTCGGAGATCAATAGCACCATCATTGCTCTTATTCCCAAAATTCCTAATCCTATGAATGTTGGTGACTATAGGCCTATTTCTTGCTGCAACACCATCTATAAATGCATTGCCAAGATAATAGCCAATAGAGTCAAATTGGTGCTTCCTGATCTTATTGATCCTGTGCAATCTGCTTTTGTCCAGGGTAGAAGAATCTCGGACAACATTTTTCTGTCCCAAGAGATTATGATGGGTTACCACCGGAGTTCCAAAACTCCGAAGTGTGCTATGAAAGTGGACATCATGAAAGCCTATGATACTGTGAGATGGGAGTTTATTATTGACATCCTCACAGCTATGGACTTTTCTCCTTGCATGATAAATTGGATCAATGCTTGTATGACTAGTCCTTCTTTCTCTATTTGCATCAATGGTAGTCTTCATGGGTACTTTAAAGGGGCTAGGGGCCTTAGGCAAGGTGACCCTATGTCCCCTTATCTTTTTGTATTGGCTATGGAGGTTTTGGCTAGAATTCTTGCTGAAAAATCTAAAAACCCCCTTTTTAAGTTCCATTGGAGATGTGAGAAGACTAAAATTGTTAATTTGTGTTTTGCTGATGACCTTATGATCTTCTATAGAGGGGATCCGGGGACTGTCCATCTCATCATGCAAGGTTTGGAGGAATTTAGGAACTTGTTCGGTCTCACTCCTAATCCTAATAAGAGTAACATTTATTTCTCTGGATGTAGTAGTGAGCTTAAAACTAACATCTTGCAAATTGCCAAATTCACTGAGGGCTCCCTCCCTGTGAAATATTTGGGTGTGCCTTTGATCACCACTAAGCTTAGAGCGTCTGACTGCCAAATCTTGGTTGATAGGATGACTAAAAGGATTAAAAGTTGGACCAATAAATTGCTATCTTATGCTGGTAGAGCCCAACTCATCCAGTCTATTCTCTTCTCGATGCAAGTTTATTGGTCTTCTATCTTTATTCTCCCTAAGAGGGTTATCCGCGACATTGAAAATCTGCTCAGATCTTTCCTGTGGTCTGGGACGGATCTGAAAAAGCATAGTGCTAAAATTGCTTGGAAGCATGTTTGCAAAAAAAAAAATGAGGGTGGGCTTGGTTTTAAGGATATGGAGGTTTGGAATAAAGCGGCTATAGCCAAACATGTTTGGTACCTGTTTTCGGGTGGGGAATGTTCAATGTGGTGTCAATGGGTTAAGTCCTACTTACTTAAGGGTAAGAGTTTTTGGGGTATTAAGATGCCCAGTGATCCATCCTGGGTTTGGAGGAAACTTTTATCGCTTAGGGATTTAATCTTCCCTATTATCAAATTCAAACTTGGCAATGGTGAAAATGTGTTCCTCTGGCATGATAACTGGCACCCCTTTGGTTCGCTTTTGCGTCGGTATGGTCCTAGAATTTTGTATGATACCAACCTTCCTGACAATTCTAAGGTTAGTTCAATCATCTCAAATGATTCTTGGAAATGGCCTTTTCCTAACTCTTGGGAGATACAGGAATGGATCACGGCCACCCCTCCTTCTCTTAAACCTTCCATTGATTCCCCTGATATTCCTGTGTGGAGTTTGACTACTGATGGTTCCTTTTCTATTTACTCTGCTTGGGATTGTTGGAGGGACAAGGGCCCAAAGGTTACTTGGTCTAATCTCGTTTGGGGTCCTCCTGTTATCCCTAGGGTTAGTTTCATTGTATGGCTAGCCATCCATGAGAGACTTAACACTGGGGATAGACTCCAAATCTTTGGTCTTCTTACCAGCCCTAGCTGCCCTTTATGTTGTGCCCCTGAGGAAAACCATTCCCATCTGTTCTTTAGGTGTCACTACTCCTCTAGGATTTGGGCTGTTATCCAAGCTAAGTGTAATTCCCACTGGCCTCCTTTGCCCTGGTTGGAACTTGTTGAGTTTGTTACTAAATCCATCAATGGTAAATCTCTGAAATCTATGATTATGAAACTCTCTTTTCTCTGCACTGTCTACCATATTTGGATGGAGAGAAATAGTAGAATCTTTAGTAAGGTCTTCAAACCTGAAGAGGTTGTTACTAACTCTATCATCCAAATGGTTAGGGGTAGACTCCTTTCTATGGAAAATGTGAAAGCTTATGCAGGTGACAACTGGTATCTGGAACAATGGAACATTCCTTCTACAATCCTGTTGCAGTCCCAAACTGCTGCAGCCGAAAGGAATTCGAGTGGTGTGAGCTTCCCTACATTGAGGGTTGAGTGATGGTGAGCAGATAAGGAGTGTTTGTCTAATTACTTGTGCTGTCTTGCAGATGGTGTTATTCTCAGATTCTATCAGCTATTATGGATCCCAAATATTCACAAAATCTGGACCCTATGAAGGGAGGGTTGAGTGATGTGAGCCAGTTGGATAGGCGGGATCAAGTTTTGTGAGGCAAAACCATCCCTTTGGTCAAAGTTTT